CTTTCTTTCTTTCTTTCTTTCTTTCTTTCTTTCTTTCTTTCTTTCTTCTCTTTCTCTTTCTCTTTCTCTTTCTCTTTCTCTTTCAAAAACTTTGTGAGAATCTATTCTTTTTAGCATGTGCCACACTTGAAAAAGGTTACAGTGGCCTTTGCAAATACCACTTCCTTTGCACCACACACGGGGCTAATGAGTAGCCAGACACAGGTACTTTCTACTCCATCTTTCCTTTCGGAAAACACATCTCTGGTTGTCTTTCCTTCTTAAGTAGTTTATTCACACAGTGTTAGATTATTTCCTGACAAGCACCACCCTGGGTGAATCCAGATGTAACAACTGATGGGCTTCTGGGAGAAGTTGGAGGAGATCCATGAGGAGGCTGTCCCCTCAACTACTCAGGATTGAAGTCAGCCAGATTGTAAATATCTACTTAATGTTTCTCAACCTTGGCAACTTGAAGATCTGTAGATTCCAACTCCCAAAATTCCCCAGCCGGCCATGTTGGGACTTGAAGTCCACAGAAGGAGAAAGACTGATCTACGGTACAAATTAAATATATTGGAGTCCAAAAGAATGGTAGATCAGGACTCCGCCACTTTGCTATGATAGTCTGCACATGCCTTTCTACTTCTCTACTTTTTTGCTTTTTAGCAAAACCCAGCTGAGTCGCCCTTCCATGCTTTGTATCTCAAAGGTATCAAATTAAGCCCCTCGTGCCAGCATTTTTAAAGTGCCACAATGGGCAAGATTTTTGCCATATATTCTTCTCCAGCACTACCTACCACAACAATTGACAAAATGGTGCACCCACAATGGCACCATCAGGTGAACGCTGACGTCACAGACTTGGATTCCCACGCCTGATGCAAATTCAGGAGTCCCAGCGTTCGAATAATGAGACGGTCACGCCTGTGTTATCTCTGTCCACCTCCCTTCAAGGATGCCGCTGTCAATCACGGGGTGTCCTTTTCGATCTACTGGCCTTACAGTATTGAATTCTAAACAAGACAAGTTTATAAATAACTTAAATAAGTCAATAGTGAAACGGCCACATTTCTAAGGACATGGTGAAGAATCTCAGAATTGTTGCTGATCAGAACCGGGTAGGAGATAGTGAGGCAAAACGATGTACACAACAGCTGCAGTCATAACAACAGAGTTTACAAACCACTGAAAATCACAGGTCCATTAAATTCTTCACTAGCATTAGGTTGAGGAAGGGCAAGGAAGATCTTGGATCAGGTTAAGCAGCCATGTTCCTTTGCTATTACAGACCAAAAAAACCCTAAGCCACTAGGTGTGTGTGTGTATAGTCTCACGTTACATACACCCCTCGCAGTTTTCTCTATATTTACTCACCAAGACCTGTTTCCAATTTACATCCTTTGAAACCCTATATATTTATGACATTTATTCTCTCCACCTTTGGGCCTCTTTCATTTGTTGCTCAAGAGTTCACCAGGAGAACAAACTCTGCTGAGAAAAATCTTCAGCAAGGAGGGAAAGAAATCAATGCGAAATCAACTATGATTAATGCCGGTTTGACCATTTTCCAACATTAATCACATTCCTGGGCTCTGGAGCGTGCAAAGCGGAAAAGTCTATACTCATAAAGAGTGTAATTGGGAACATTCCTTCTCCTTACTCCGAGTTGGGGAGGCGGTGGGTGGTAGCGCAGCTCGGAATTACAAAGCCGCAGAATCGTCTGTGTTGAATAAATATGGATTTCTTGGTCCCAAAGTTGGACGCGCGTTGAAAAAGACACAAACGCAAGGAGAACTCATGAGGAGCTGCCCTTCATTCAAACTTGAAACAGCTGCTTCTCCAGCTACAGTTCTGTGCAGGACTTAAATTGCAGCCCAGCTGTATAACAGACACCCAAGGATATTGCTGACTCGCAATCGCGCCCTCCCTATTGTCCAGAAAGTTATCACAAGAACACCAAGGACAATTGTGTCTTAATGTCACAACAATCTACCTCCAAGGAAGGCGGCCCCTTGGCTCTTTGCAGGCACGGTATAGAGTGACCCTGAGGATAATAGAACATTCTGACTGATTTGGGATTTAATCTAATGTCCTCCCTGGACAGAAGTATATACACATTTCTGGGAAGAAATTGCTATATATCTTCACAAGATAGATAGATATATAGATATATATATATAGATATATATATAGGCTAGCCCCAAATTAAAACTGAAACAACTGTAAAAATCTGACTCACAGACGAACACAATACAGAAGCGTGATGATGGCAGATGAGATTCTGCCGAAATGTTGCTACAACTTTAAAAGCACAACTATAATGATGTGGGAAAATACCTGAACAAAGCTGAATACCATACATGTAAGTACCCGCGAAAACTTAAGAATATATATATTTATTATATTATTATATTATATTATATTATATTATATTATATTATATATTATATTATATTATATTATATTATATTATATTATATTATATTATATTATATTATATTATATTATTATATTATATTATTATATTACATTACATTATATTATATTATATTCCTGGGAATGAAAGGATTTCTATATTCTGAGCAGGCTGAAAAAGAAGCGAGGCTTCAATGCTGAATAGTCTGAAATCAATACTTAGGAAGAGAATGAAGAATTTTCCCTTTAAACCTCCCCTCCTTTTTCCCCCCCTTGTTCTTTGTGTTTTATACTTTCCTGAAATTCGATAAAGTTATAGGGGAAAAAAACAACTACCAGGCAAAAAATAGTTTGTCTCTAAGGAGACTGTGGTGGGGAAGGTAGATTTGTATGGTTCCTCGCTGAACATGATGGAAGGCAGAGTTTTAACACTCTTAGGATGCTACAAGTTGGTGATTCAGGCAGGATGGCTAGAGTTCAACCTTCAGGACTGTCTAATATTAGGAGGGTTAACTCCCAGTTGGATCTTTGAGAAAAAGGGGGCTGGTGGAAACAAGACAGGCAAAAAATCCACCAGGAGATTGTCTTTGGTGCCATCGTCATCTTCTTCTTCATCATCCTCATCCTCATGCCATACAGGAATATTTAAAAAAAACAGGAATTAAATTCAACTATTAAATTCACCCAAAGAAAAAGCTACAGAACAAACAAAGAACGTTTTGATGAATTTCACAGGATCTGAAGAAACAACCCAAGGTCTCTATTTCTAAATAGGGCAAATGAAATCCTACAGAGACATTCACACATTTTCATTCCAGGGTCAGTTCACCCAGAGATAGGAAAGCCACAGTGTTAGCCAATCGTCTTCTCTTAAACCCAAGAGCTCCAAAAGCCAACCTCTGCACAATTTCACAGAAACCCCCAATGCACCAACGATTTCCCATTACAGATGTTTCCACCTAGAGCTATTGATTTCTCTCAAGATGTCTGGAAGTAAACTTTACTGACAAGCATGAACTTCCACCAGAGCTAACCTAATATAAGACTCTACACACACACACACACACACACACACACAAAAGCACACACATACACAACACTCCAGCATCCAGCACTAGACTTCATGTCAGGTGGGACTGGTAAATCAATTGTTTGTTTGTTTTCATGTTGGGAAGCTTCATTCCTGGACAGGTTTGGACAAACCCACGATCCATTCAGATCTGATGGGGCTTCCTTGGAAGATATTTCCAAAATGAAAACAAATAAACAAAAAACCCCAAAGAGGGTGAATTCTGAATCAGAAGCAGGAGCCAAAATAAATTCAGGGGTCAACACACCCACATCGGCATCTCTTCCTACAATTGTAGGATCCCCCACAAATACTTGTGAGCTCGAATAAACTGTTCTGAGATGATGCCAAGTCATTAGAGTTAACATGGGTGAAAAACCTATCAATTACAGGGAGAACCAAAGAGTACCCAAGACCATTCTCAAGTTTTCCTTGGGTTGAATCAAGAGCAAGTTAAGTTACAGACCTCCAGGAACCCAATTTGACCATACAAATTCTTCCCAAGTGTTGTCCTCCAAATTCTGAGAACTATGTTCCAAGAATTGGAGAAGACTTATCCTTCAGGCCATGGCTTTTTAACCTATCCAGGGTTAGACATGAGACAGAGCTATTTTCCTTCCTGCCTGGGGTCTTTCTCAACAGATAATTCTCAAGAGCCTCTCCTATTCTCCTGTGTTCACTACAAGCTTTTCCCCTTCAAGCTACTGTTCAGGTCCTTCCACGCATTTCCGTCAGCCATCTTATGCGTGGTGATGGTGCCCATGGCATGGGCGATTTACTGCTTAATTAATAACTTCACTGTGTCGAAAAGGAGATAATACTTTTCTTTCTGCATGAAAGCATCCATTTTTCCTTCAGCAAACAGTTGAATGCGTACAGTAATTAAACAAATGTTCACTTTAGCGCCCTATTTTCTTCCAGCAATCATCGCTTCCACTCACTGCTCAAATTTTACTGCTTTTTCATCACAGCCCCCAAATGCAGAAGACACACAAAGGAGAGAGAGTATTGCCATCCTTCCCTTCATCGCTGACAATTCCTCTGTGAAAAACTGAAGATCTTGAACAGCAATGAAAGCTACCTTTTGAGCTAAAAGAAAGGGAAAATTGAATTCAATATGACTGAGAATTAAGAGTGTAAATCTAGCCATATTAACATTCTTTTTATCTTGCCACAATCACAGTAGAATCTGGGTGGGTTGCTATAATGTCAAACAAGATAATTTAACAAAAAAATATATTAATACATTAAGACATCCCAGAACAACACCCGGCATAGGAGCCCAAAAGTCCTGCTTTCCATTTTTTCTGGACGTCTGATAATCCTGCAGACCTGTGGATCTCCAACAGGGAAGCATTCTTGAGAACGATCTCCATCATGGAAAACCAACACTCCTGGGCACTTAGTCCCCCAAATCTCCTGAAATTAGGAGACAACCCACTGCTTCTCCAAACACAACTGAAGTTTTAGGGTCAACTCAAATGGGGAAATGAGGTCTTGCTATGTTGGTACAGACTGTAACCAAGAAAAAGACTAAAGGGTAATGTGGATAACTCCATAAAAACATCAAGCCATTCAACGGATTGGATCAGTGGATGAACCATTTGCAGATTCCTTTGAATGGCAAACAAATCCTTCGGACAACATGCCAAAAAAAGAAAGAAACAACAAATCAAGTTTAAAACCAATCCAGATTAACAGCTGTTAGCTTTGGAGCAGACTTGGATAAGGAAGTTGTGTGAACCTGGCCACTGTATGAAGGAGAAACGAAGATGTTCCATGAAACTGTTGCACAGCAAAGCTGGACTGATGACACCAGATTCAAGGCCTCACTTAGACCTGATCATCCCTGGGTGGGATTAGGGAAGGTCTAAGCTACCCTCACAAGATTGATGTGAAGATAAAATTGGGAGTCCCGCAGAAACTGAGTAATAAATGGCAATATAAAACCTGTGAGCTGGACTACTGCCCAGATTTGCTGTCAGATGGGCAGCCTTATAAATCTACCCTACAAATAAAGTGTTAAATTTACTGCTATCTTCCAAGACTCTGGAAAGGCCACCTCTGAAGGTCAGGGTCTCTTTCTTCTCCAGAGCCCTTTGGAAAGGGGGTTTATTCTAGGCAGCTTCTGAAGGTTGACACCAGAGGTGGTATTCAGCTGGTTCTGACCAGTTCTGGAGACCCAGTAGTGGAAATTTTGAGTAGTTCGGAGAACCGGCCAATCCCACCTCTGACTGGCCCCACCCCTGTCTATTCTCTGCCTCCCATCGAGTCCCAGCTGATCAGCTGGGTCTCCTTTGGTTGCCCTGCACAGGAGAACGGAGCTGGAAAGCAGGTTAGTGGGGTGGGGAGGGAAGGGGGATTTTGCAGTATCCTTCCCCTGCCTCCCACCAAGCCACACCATGCCCACAGAACCAGTAGTAAAAAAATTTGAATCCCACCACTGGTTGACACCAACGTAACGCCAGTCTAAAAACTCGTCTCAAAGTCTCCAGGTATCTTCTGCCTTCATCCTATGCTTTACATTCAATTTTACCCATTTTTATTGCATAAACTGTCCTTGTGCGCAGAAGAGGAGGGAGATAAACGCCGTTTCTTTCCAATAGCCTCCAAGCTACTTCTCTGAGAATAACTTTCCAAACACAATTATATTCTTCTGCTTTAACAATATAGACCCACCTCCTGGTATGGAGTCATTAGTGGAGGGGAGAAAAACCGCAACTCTCTTTTGGAAGGATTAAATAAAATTAGCCAAATGGAACGGCAAGAAAATGGCAGATAAAAAGTTTCTCTATAGCTGATTGCAGCCGGCTCATTCTCCCTCCATCAGCATTTAATTCGTTCTAGGATCACAGATTCTAGAAAAGGCCTCGATCATCTGGGTCAACTGTGGAATGGTGGGCTGGGGAGGAAAGGCGGGGGGGCCAAGCAGGACCAGAACTAAACAAACTCTCCACAGCCCCCTTGGCTGAGACATTTGCCAAGTCAATGCCAAGTCAACAACTTCTTGCAAAGTTTGGCATTCCTGTTTTGTGTTGTGTGCCAGCCAATAGGTACAAGGGTGGGTATGTTCCCAGATGAACAAAAAGGAGGTTGTGTGCAGGTTGGGTAAACAAACATCACACACACACACCTCGACACACCCTGGCGACCTAAATCAAAATTTTAATGAGGCAATGTGATTAACGGATCCCTCAATGGCAGAAGCCAAGGAACGTCAGAAAGGGCAGAGCGCGGCAGAGATGCGCACCGGAGGGGGGGGGCCAAGAAGAGCATCCAAGGGAAGATGCAAGTTGAACACAGAGGATGTTAAGTCTGGAAGATCGGTCCCGGGTAGATCGGTCCCGGGTAGATCGGTCCGCACAGAGACGCGAGACCCAAAGTGAACATTCAGCTCTTTATTGAGTATACAGTTCTGTACGGGACCTGCGCTTCGTGGCAGCC